TTCTCCACCTTTCACCTTGTAATCCTCTTTTGAGCTTCTTTTTTCTACCAACTTTAAACAGATTTTAGCAAACATCATGAATTCCAGCTGTGACTTTGAGGTCATTGGGCTGACAAATTGCCATTTTAACCTATGTGAAATGTCAATGAGCACTACAGACATTGACTGATGAAAAGCCAAAGGAGCATATTTACATCTTATCATAATCAGCAACTTTAACATGTGTTTGTCTAAACATAGAATAATTCATGCCAGTTCAGAAGAATATACCACATCTGGAAGCATAAGCAATATCAATAAACTTATCAAATCTGTGGCATCATGAACAGCAACATAGCACTTTTATAAAGATTTAAAGCATGTACTAAAGGAATAATGAAATATAAAAGTCTATAATACCCATCTGTTCAAATGGAAGTAGAGGCAAAGTGATAAGTTTGATTGGCCTCCAGACTAGAATATTGGTGGAAGGGCATTGGTGTTGTCCTCTCAGAACCTGGGAAGCATATAATAAACTATTAAGGAGTGTGAGCAAATCAAGAGGTTCAGCAACCCACTATGCCATCCTCATAGTTTTGAGTATAATACCTATCTGAATCATTCAGTATGTATGATTGAAAGTGTAGTGAAAGATATCTGGAAAGTGACAAATGAGACAAGTCTGGATTACAGCACAGGGCTTCCTTGAATGTAGAATGCTGATAAATTATTGAGAAGGGGAAGTTGTATTCCTTGCGGATGTAAATCCTACATTACACCTATTTTAGTTAAGAATCAGAAGAAAGTTTGGAAAGGCAACTATAATGTCAGGATCATCCATGCTATGATATTCTCCATTTCTATGAATGGTTGAGAAAGCCAGAAGATGAAAAAAAAAGCCAAAGGGAACACAATCAATTAATTTTGAAGTATGGTGCTGGAAAAGAGTACTACAGATACCATGGACCATCAAAAAGATAAATAACACAATTTAGTCTTGAACCCACACTAGAGGCCAATATAATTAAACTGAGGGTAGACATAAAGAAATGACATGACTCATTAGAAAAGAGGCTCAGTAAAAGGAGGCAATATAAAAGAGGAAAACAAGATGAAAATAAGACACAGCCTTCAGTCTGCCAGACTTAAGAAGCGCTGTTGATAACCATTGCTCATATTGACAAGGTTACCAAAAGTCAAAGCTGACATAGCAACCAATAACAACAAATAATAACCAAAGTTCCTTCATGTTTTGGTTTTGAGTTCTTCCCCTGAATTCCACTAGTATATTTGCTAAAAGAGAAGGCATCAGCAAATGTAACTTTTTACAATAATAATAATGCATCATTGATATACATTTCCCCATAGTTCTAGGGCAGAGATTTTGAAATCTTTATTCCCAAAATCATGAGGAAATATTTGTTATACATTTAATATAGATAGATGATGTTTTTGGTGCAGGTGGAAACGATGCAGATTTCTAGATTCACTCCTGATACCACCACCATGGAACAGCACATCGGTGGTCATTTCCTCATTTCCAGTAATCATCTGTGTGTTCTTGGATTCTTCTTTCTGTATCATAAAGGAAAATATGTATAAGGTGAACAGTGTTAAAAGAAGAATGTGTGCAGATGCACAAGTATATGCATTTAGAGAAACCCAGAAGAAAATGCTGTTTATTCTCTTAATAGCTCCTCATTTCTTAAAGACCTTATAACAGGCATATAAACATTATCTCAGCTACCAGTATTCTATTCATCAGCAGAATATTTAAGCACAGGGGGACTTGCAACATATTTTACTTCATCCATTTTGATTTATAACCCAGTCTATCCCTAGAGCTCATACAGCCAATGACATATTTTTTAAAAAAAATAGATTAATAATGCAAAACCTAATCATGTTATGCTAAAGTGACCTTGAACAGCTATACCTTCAAGAAACTGTTATAGTTCAGATTTTGGTGAGTCTTTTCTGAAAAGAGTTCCATAATGTTCAGGCAGACCCTGGAAATACTTTAGGGACTTTCGTGCTTGGAACTGCCATGTGGAGTTTGTTATCAAAAGAGATTTTCATCTTTTCTTGCTTAGGCACATTTATTGTACTGCAGGCTTTTGCAGCACTTGCATCTTGTTCTGTTTTGCTTTGCTTTGTAAATCGAAAACATTGGCTGCTATATTTTATTCCATGAATGGGGGAGTTCCCATTCACAGCAGAAGAGCTGAACTCACAAACCTTGAGCTCATAAGGAGCTTTGATTGACAGTAGGGGAGTTGAACTCCCAGTCTTTGGACTCATGTAAGAAACCTTTCAGGAGCAAAATTCTTCTTCCATGAATAGAAGCACCTCCTGTTCACTGAACAAAAACATTAGATTCCACTCATTAAGCACAAAGTGGTTCTTTTGGACTGCTGTTCACTATATTATACATTTTTGACAGTGTGTACCACACAACTGTGCACTTCTTACATTCCTATACTAGAATGTGAGTGTTAAAAGCCTTAACTCCTAGATACAGATTCCTCAAACAAGATTTGTGTTCAAAGAGGAGGCCTGTGGCTCTCCTATAGAAAACTAACTTTTCTGACCATCAGGATTTACACATAACATTTATTTAAAATGTGGCTCAGGAAATTCATGGTGGCTGTTTCACTCTCTTACACATGCCCCTGCCCATTATCTTGCTTTATTGCAGCACCCACAAAAGGCCACTTTCTAGGTTTAGGTTTGACTCTGAAGTCTAAGAAATCAGAAACCCTAATTTGGTGACACTTGGAAAAAGTGACTAGTTACAAGCAGAAAAAAGATTTGCTAGTGAAAAGAATAATGTGCAACTCATCTGCCTCCAGTATGACTGTGGATTCCTGAACTAATACCAGGAAAGGATTGAGGGATGAGTTAGATGAAGACTTTGATCTACTAGATATCAAATATCTTTACCCAGGAGTAGTTCTATTATGCCAGACTAGAATAGGCAGAAGGCTTGACTGGAATGGACTGAACACAAATGTTCAGTCCTCACTACAGTCTTAAATGTTTCTTTGTCTTTTTACTATCATTTTTACTATCATCATCACCAAAAACTCAAATAGCTCAGTCGTAGAAGGTACACAAAGTGCGGACAGACACACTATACAAGAAACATATGTACAGAAGTGAAAACACAGTAAACAGGGCAAGTTTCAGCCTGAGTCTAATGCAGGAAGTTGTCTTATCTTGGCTCCCTGGGAGAGGAACTTGGCTATGGCCAAAGTCATGTGGGGGAGATTAATTCCTAATAAAATCTTTACATAGAATTGGACTAATCTACCAGGTAAGTTTCTCAGTAGTGAATTAATAATACATTGTCAAGCCTACTTATAAAAACTGCAGGACAATAAGATGTGATTCATACATTTAACTTTCTAGTTATTGCATGGGCAAAGTTTTGTTATGTAGGACTCTCTCAAATCTACCTTGAGGCAATTTAGAGGGGAACACATTACATCTTGCCTCACAGTATAGGCAGCAATATTTGGCACTTAGATATTTAATATCAGTCTCTCCAAAAGGATGGAGGGAGAGAAGAGCATGTTCTCTAGGATGTTTTCTTCTTCAATCAATGGTCATTTGGCCAAATCTCTAGTGGTTTCTTTAATTGCTAATGTTTTTGCACTTCAGTTTTTGGGTAGTGAAGGAGGGTGCCACAGCATAGTAAAAAAAATTACACATGAATATATGGCAACCTTTGTGGCTGATGTCATTATAATTGCCGCAAGTATTTGAAATAATAGGAAGCCAAGTGAGTTTGGCTTGGCAGAACTTTGACAGATTCAAGCTATATTTTTATAGCAATGAGTTCAGGGAAATAGAAAATCAATGAGGCATATCGCATACCAGCAAGACTGCTGGTGGGGAATGGAAGGCTACAGTTATATTGGTTGCTTGATAAACTGATCCTACTCTTGTCTGATTACACCTTAAATTTTTTACTGTATGTACTCAAAGCTGCTTGTAAGGTCATATGTATTGAGAGTAAAGCCATACTTCCTAGATATGTTTTAGAGGTATACATAGTAATTATGATATTACAGATTTCCTGTGCTTTTGAAATTGGATTCTAGTTTTGAGTTATATTCAATTCCCTCCCTCGCCTTCTTCATGTTGGATGATAACTGTTTCTTGCACCATTTATAAGTTTCAGAAGGATGTTTTCTTCATTGGGTGCAATATAACTAAGATCTTATTTCTCACTTACTTAATAGAAGAAATATTAGTTTTGCATGCTGAGTAAATATAATGAAATAGATTGTAGCCTTTTATATTAAAAATGATATAACTATGGATGGGAATATGTTTGTTTGCTTTCTCCTGGATTACTTTTAAAGCTCAAGTTCTTTTTGTCCAGAATATAAACACTTTGACAATTTTCATCCATTTTTTGAATCGAAGCAAAAATTAAAACACTAAGGCAAAATTCAAAAGGCACCAGCCATAGAGGCAGCCATGAAGTATCTTCCTCCATATAGGCGTTAAAGTTAAAAAATCTGTCATTTAAAAAAGACATCCCAATCTGAAATTGTCCAATATGGTTGAATACACAGGGATTCAAACCTGAAGTTTCGTTCACCATTGTAATTGGTATTAGTATGGCTTACTTAACAACTCTGAGTGCCTTTGTACGTGAGGAGCGGGTTAAAATTCTATAAATAAATAAATAGTCCCTTGTCTGTGGAATTCCCTCCTGTGGATACAGACCCTTTTGAATTTCTGGTCAGCAATGAAGACTTTATTTTTTTAAATTGATCTTTGGGGTTTTTAATGAAGTATTTAAAAATATTCTTAAAATTATTTCAAAAGTTATTATTTAAGCATCAGAAGTTAGACCCCATCCACCACAATTGGTGTTTTGTACTATTTAAAATAATAATTTATATCAAGATAACTATGGGAAGGCATGAAAGGAGGTTTAAAAAGACCTGGATTGTTAACAAAGGATTCAACTATCCTAGTTAGGAAGGATAGTCGTGCTAAAAATGATGGGAGGCAAGGAGACGGGAAGGAAGGTTGCTTTTGGCCGCTTTGGGGGGAGACTTGGAGGGGTCTACAGCAATGGCGTCTAACGATTATAGTCAGTCAGCAACACAGAGTTATGGGGTCTACCCAACTCCACCCACACAGGGTTATTCTCAGCAGACTAGCCAGTCATATGGGCAGCAGAGCTATGGCGGATATGGACAGTCAGCAGATACTTCAGGATACAGTCAAAGTAGTTACAGCTCTTCTTATGGACAGACTCAAAGCTCTGGCTATGGCACTCAGTCAACACCACAGGCCTATGGCTCATCAGCAGGATATGGCAGCAGCCAAACTTCTCAGACATCCTATGGACAGCAGTCATCGTATCCCAGCTACTCCCAGAAGCCAGCCAGTTCCACCACTGGAAGTTATGGCACCAGCTCTCAAACCTCCAGCTATGGGCTAAAAATGATGACTTTACTGAAAATGTTGTTTCTATTTCAAAACTTACAAATAATTAAGGGACTGAAGGTTTTTGAGAAATGAAGAAAGGAATTGGTTAAATTTATATAGAACGGAAAAAGGAGTAGAATTGCTTATAGAAATAGAATAGATGCAAAAGATAAAGGAAGATTGACACTTCCAGACCTTGGATACTATTATGAAGAAGCGGGCTTTAGTTGTTTAGGACTGTATTAAATTAGAAATTCAAGTTTTACTTAGTCTAGAGTGGCACCATCCAAGATTTAGTTGGGATTACCTATGGTATGGGAAAGAGAAAGCTAACAAAATTTTTAGTAGGCATCTGTGATGAATCTAACCTTTTGCCAGGAAGGCCGAAGCCTGGAAAGTCAGTAACTGACATGTTCAGAGATAGGCAGGAGAGCTAAGAGGCAAGAGGGAGGAGTCAGCCGACTCCTGATTGGCTAGAGCAGTCAGGGGAGGAGTTAGGTTTTAGAGGGGAAAAGGCTGTGTCTTTTTGACAAGCTGGGGGAGAAGAGCTTTAAACATCGAAGAGTGTAGAAGGAGAGTTAGGAAGAGGGAGCTGTGAAGAATTTAGACAGAACTTTTGAAGTGAGCCTTGGGTATTAGAGCATAGGAAAGGCATAGGTTCCTGGATCACTGTACAGAGAAGGGTCAGTGTAGGAAAGCCTGGTTTGCTCTGTGAGGCAGTCAGTGGGCTGTTCTCAAGGACACACTGTGTCAGTGTAGTGGCCAGTGTGAGGCAAGGAACTCACAGGAAACAAAAGTTAAAGTCTTAGAGAAAGACTGCTTGTCTAAACAGCTAAGCCTCAAGTAACCGCATTACGCTTTTGTACCACTCTTTTTAAGAGTTGTTTTGTTAACCAAGTTTAAATAAACCTGTTTGTATTTCATCTTTAAACTGGTGTCTGCCTCGGTCTATTACAATCATTAGATCTCAGCTAGCCTAAAGAAAACTAATTTCAGTCCAGTCAGCGAAAGAAGCAGCCAGTGAAGAAGCACTTAGGGCTTGAACAAACTTTACCTACTATTTTCACATTCACACTTATGTTTTCCTCAGACATTAATTGAGGAGGTGGCGGCGAATCTGCCTAGTACATCGGTCATCAACAACGTTAATATAGTTGGTCACTTAATAATATTGATACTGAGGTGGGATAAGAGAGTCTTTCCCCCTCGTCGTAGTCATTTATCTTTGTTAAAGTAGTGTCCAGCTGAGCGTTGACATCTTTAAATTGGTGGGCAGTGTTGGGATTGCTTTCCCCCCTGCCCAAGCGGTCGCGGATTTTCGTTATAGCATCCCATAAGAGCTAGCTTTCTAGCATTATGGGAAAGATACAAGGAAAGTTTGGGAATGATCAGTTTGGGAGTGATCCTGGACTCATTGCTGGGCCTGGAACCTCAGGTCTCAGCAGTGGCCGGGAGAGCTTTTGCACAATTAAACCTTGTGCGCCAGCTGCGCCCATCCCTGAGGAAGTCTGACTTGGCCACGGTGGTCCACGCTCTGGTTATATCCTGAATAGACTACTGCAATGCTCTCTATGTAGGGCTGCCATTGAAAACTTCTCGGAAGCTTCAATTAGTCCAACGGTCAGCAGCCAGGTTGTTAACCGGAGCGGCGTATAGGGAGCATACCACTCCTTTGTTTCGCCAGCTCCACTGGGTGCTGATCAGCTTCTGGGCACAATTCAAAGTGCTGGTTTTAACTTTTAAAGCCCTGAATGGTTCTGGCCCAGATTACCTGTCCAAATGTATCTCTTGTTATGAACCATAACGAAGCTTAAGATTGTCAGGAGAGGCCCTGCTCTCGATCCCAACACTCTCGCAAATGCAATTGGTGGGGACAAGATGAGTGACAGCGCCTTCTTGGCAGTGGCCCCCCATCTTGTATTTTGTACTTGTATCTTGTACTTGTATTTTCATTATTGAATCTTGAAGGTTATATGTCATCATTTTTTTCTCATATATCGCAATAAAAATTGTAGATGAAAATAAGATAATTTTAAAATGAAAAAGAATGATCCAGTAGTACATACTGTTATTTCTCTGTTTATTCTAGCCATGATATGACTAAGCTATGCCATTTTGATCTGATACATTTCATTTATAATTTTTAAAGAAATTCAGGTTATGTTAAAATCTTGACTAAAACCATCTTTCATGGAGAAAAAGAAGCAAATTTTCTTTCTTTAAAAACCACTATTGATCTATGCTTTTATCCTTCCTTTTCCTATTTAATTTTTTTTTAAAAAAAAATATCACAGTAATGTATTTATTATGAGGAATCTTCTCAACTGGAATATGTGAAGAAAGACTAGAATGAATGATATACAAATTCAAAAGAAAAATCATTTCTTGATACCTTTGGCATTGGAGCAGGAGGGGGGAATCTTGTACTACACTTTGGAAAGTTTCCAGTAATTTGTTCAAACTAGCCCAAGAGAACATGTGGTGAGATACTCTATATGTAAATGAAGTCCCAAACATGTTGGCAAGAAATGGCCTGGGAGGAGCTGGTTCTTACCATACTGAGGACATTCTGTGGAAGTACTATTATGATTTATTATGCACGCAGTGTCAAAATTATGTTAGATGCTTTATAGCTGGGTAGGAAGGCAATTGTCAGCAAATCATCCTATCAAGGCAGGCAGAGAAAGTAACGTGGTTTTACTGCTGCATTTGTCCATGAACTTGTGAATATTCATGAAACATCAAAGGAGTGTTTCCAAACTCTGAAGCAGCTTAAATCTACAGCAGTACAAATATTCTCTTAGCTCACGAAGGTGTCCATAAAATGTTTCTGGTGGTTTTATTATAATTTTTTACTTCTTTTATGTATATGCTCTTCATCTTCTATATAGAAATGAAAAGGTCTTATATGCAGTGCCTACCTTACATGGTTTTAACAATAATTTTGTTGCAACCAGAACATCACAGATATGTAGCCATTTGAGTAGGGTTACTTTGGCTTTTCTGTCAGGACCCCCTTATACAAAACTATCCTCAAAATGAGGGGGGGAAAAAGAGTAGCAACAATTCAGATGGCCAAGAATAGCACCTAGGAAAGTGCAGGGAGCTTGAGATAATAACCTGATAAGTATATCTATTCAGAAATGAAGATGTATGTATGTATTTATTGTATTGTCGAAGGCTTTCATGGCTGGAATCACTAGGTTTTTGTGGGTTTTTTCGGGCTATAGGGCCATGTTCTAGAGGCATTTCTCCTGACGTTTCGCCTGCATCTATGGCAAGCATCCTCAGAGGTAGTGAGGATGCTTGCCATAGATGCAGGCAAAACGTCAAGAGAAATGCCTCTAGAACATGGCCCTATAGCCCGAAAAAACCCACAAGAACCTTATGTATTTATTTATTTTCAAAATTTATATGCTGCCCTTCTTACCCCAAAGGGACTCAGAGCAGCTTACAGATATACTTCCCCATCTCATTATTTCGTATATAGGAAAGAGTACATCTAAATAGGAGCCTGGGTGATGGAGGTATACAATTTGAATTGATCAATCTATTTTTATTCTATCAATTTTATATACAGTGTGTCTTTCAGATGCCCTTTCAATCCCATTTGCACATTATGGTGTCTTTTTTTAAAAAGGAAATCATAAGTATGGGCATTTTTATATTTTAGATGTAAATGTTTTCCTGAATTGTCTCCTACATTACATATGTTGATATGCATCCTAACTTTAAAACATATTATAGAGCTAAGAATGTCAACACAAATTTTAGAGAAGTGCAAAATCTAAAAGAAAACTGTGTTCCAGCCTGCTGAATGTGACAAAGGAACTCAGCACATTGAGACTGAGAAGTGTTTTCTCCCCACTTTAGGCACACTGCTGGCAAGGAGCCCCCTGGAGCCCAACATATGATGCAGAGTTACTTCCTGTGGGGCTCCATGCCAGCAGCATGCTTGCAGTGCAGAAAAACAGAGCCCAGAAGAGTTGGGTGTACACCCAACTCCTCATACAAGAAAGCCGGAGGAGACAAAGAGGAAGTAGGGGACAGTGGGAAAATGTTGTGGGAGGCGATACTGCAACCCATGATTCACAACGGGTAGGGAACTCAGTGTGACGCTGCCCTGCAATTTCCCCTGCTGTCCCCTGGCTTTTTAAGGGCCGTCTGATGTAGTCCTTAGTCTGGTTCACTTGAAAAGGCATCCTGAACCCAAATCCAAACCTTTTGTATTTCTGTCAGTTCAAAAGAGGTGTGGGTGTCATCTAAGACATACAGAGGTATGTAATCTATGATGTGTTTGGTCCTTAAAAGTTTCCTAAGTGATTTTTATCTATGTGTTATGCTTCTGAAGGACATGAGGAATCAACTCCTGTTTTGCAGTTTCATTTCTTTCTCTTTCCTCTTTCCCAGAAAGTATTGTGAGCATAAAACACATAATTGACTTTGAAATATTGATGTTATATTTTATTAAAGACCAATAAGAGGATAACAATATCCTTTCTGTGGCCTGATTGAAACAAACCTTCCTGGGCTTTGTTACTAGAGAATGTTGATCGAGAACAAAATCTATCCGATGCTGTAATAAGGAAAAGACATTAAGAAGTCATGCTTATGAACTTTAAAACCCATCCAGCATTGTTGCCTCATTCTAACTGTACATACTTAGCCTTATCAGAAATTAGCAACAATCATGACTTGCTGTTTGGCAGAAAGATAGAAACCATTGCCACAGTTCCTCATCAAAACTGAGCTGACCAAAACAATTCCATCAGTATTTCATATCCATAGGTTCTGCACCTTAGATCTAATCAAACATGGCTTTAAAATATTATGGGAAAAATCCAAAAAGGAATCCCTGATTTTGCTGCACACCAAGCAGTACACTGATATGTAGTCAGACCTTGCTACACCAACATGCATTTGAGTTGTTTACCATTTTATATAACTGACATGATATTATTATGCCATTGTATACGATGGGACCTGAGCTCCCAATGATTTTGGTATCCATAGAGGGACCTGGTACCAAGATAATACCAAGGGCCCATTGTATTTCTATCCTAATCAGGTAAGTATGCCCAAGCATGTTAGTG